GATTAAAAGACCCGGTCATTTTTTTTATATATATATATAAATACAAAATTATTAAAAAATAATAATAATTATCAATAAATACATTTTTTGAGATCCGGGGCTAAAAAAAACCATCCGGGGCTGAAGCCCCGAATGCCCATGTCTAACGACGCGCCTGATAATGACTTGTGTTTAGACTTTGATTGCGGCTGGTCATATCTATGGAGAATATTCTTTTTTTTTTAATGGAACACAAAAGGAGTTTTATTTCAGAATGTCCAGGTTGATCTGATTTAAGTGTGAACTGTTCCTTTAAGGCTCGGACACTATAAGAACGGAGTCATTGATGAAGTGTTTTCTGAGCTTCTGACCCACAGGATCTCTGAGTTCAGTCACCAGCAGGTGTCAGCATTGCCTCAGTGAGTTTAGTTCAGGTGCTCATGGGAAAATCATGGAGGCAGAGCTTCACTTCTCCACTGATGCGCATTACAGTGAACGAACAGTTTAATTCGCTTTACATGTTCATCCGCAAAAAAAAAAAAAAAAAAAATTAACAAGAAGAAAAAAAGCCTACTGGATCATTTCTGTTACTTTTTTCTAAAAACAAAAATTCTGTTCCTATCTGTAGGACTTTAGGGCTTTTAAAAATAATTGTACTTGTTTTGAAATTTATTGAAATATAATTCAACTGAATTAATTATAACTTAAGGACATGGAAATGACCAGGATGGAAATAAAGAGTTAAACTTATAGTTATTGAAGTGAACTGATTGACGGTTAATTTTCAAATTTGTTAAAAGCGCATTAATTTCTTCTCTTTGATTTCTCAGTGTGAGAACTGAACGAGACCCAGAGGTCAGATGTAAACCGGCTCCTCTGAGGGACGTGGGTCGGCGCTTCAATAAGCCAGGTATGTGGGAGTTTTGGGAATTGAGGTGGAACAGGATTAAAGTTCAATTAAAACACTGATGATCTCAGATGACCCCATTAATTCTTCAGCATGCATCTAGCCTTTTGGGTTTGAGACCCCTGATGAAAAGCAAATATAATGAATGAAACACACTGTGTGTCTTCTGCTGCAGTCTCCGATGTACGGGTCAGGAGGGCACTGCGTTGACACATACTCTTGACAAGGTCACACACACACACACACACACACACACACACACACACACACACACACACACACACACACACACACACACACACACACACACACACACACACACACACACACACAGTATATTAGTGAGAACATCTCATTGATGATTTTTATATGGAGGTGATGATATCTGCTAAAGCTCAACCCTATACAACCCCTAAAGAAAAAAACTAACAAGATTAATTTGATGTATACATTTTTAATTTTAAATATAAATGAATACATTTATTTAACATATATATTTACAAATATTTAATAAAATATTTTTGAACAAATTAGTGATTTTAAATAACTAAATTTAAATAAACACACACACACAAATATATATATTTATATACACACACGATTTTTGATTGTTTTTAAAAAAAATGGAGGAAGTGATGATATTTTGTACAGCTCTACTGAACCCTAAAAACAAAAAAGATTTTACAAAACAAGATTTTACAAACATGTAATACTTTTTTCTATAAATATTTTTTTAGAATGAATTAGTCTGTTTTTAAATAACTACATTTAAAAACAATAATTGAAAATATATTTTATATTTGGCAAAATTTTAAATGTATTTTTGATATGTAAAAATGTATTTAAAAAATATGTTTTTGCTAATCTTTTATTTTATATATAAATCTTTTATTTTAAATACATCTAAATAAATACATCTTAAAATAATCTTATAAATAGACAGGTAAACGAACAAACAAACAAGATAGCCAAACAAACAAATAAATATTTGGACACATGCACAATTTGTCACTTAAAGGTGTTTGGCTCAAACACATGGAGTCCGAAACGAAGCACCCACGACCAAAGATGGCAGCATTCAGATGGTATACTTTAAGTGATGCATGAACCAGCAGATGTCATGCAGATGAATGAGAATGCTGACAGACAGATCTCAACCGTGCATTACAGACTCAGCCATGAGCCACTGAAGTGTCCATGAATACAGTCACATTTCTGGACATCTCCTGCCTCTCTTCAGCTTTGATGAGCTCATGGCTGGGCTGTTTGTCTTGTGTCGGCCGGTCGATCACTCGCTTCATCAAACAGCCTCCAGCTACAGATGACTGACAGCTCCAAAACATCAGCCTGCAGACACTCTGCATTCCTCCAGGAGACTCGCTTTACAGTTTTCTACACTCACTTAGACCACTTTTTTTCAATACTTGGGTCACTTTAAAAAAAAAAAACTCTTCACACAGTGAGCACAACAGCATTTCTGAGCACAGGATCATTTATCATTGCTTTGGCACAAAATGCATTCAATTACTTCTTCTTTCAAATTTCATGAATTCTCGTCTCATTTAGACACAGACACAGCCAAACTATACCTACAGGTATTTGCACATATTTACATTACTTTTTCAAAAACTTGAAGGGTTAGTTCACCCAAAAATTTAAAATTTCCTCTCACCCTCACGTCGTTCCAAACCCATTCCAAAGACTTTCGTTCATCTTCGGAACACCAATTTATTGACAGCTACGCAACTACCACTTTGACGCTTCAAAAAGTTCATAAAGAGATCATAAAATTAATCCATATGAATTGAGCGGTTTAGTCCAAATTTTCTGTAGAGACTCGATCGCTTTATATGATGAACAGATTTAATTTAGGCTTTTATTATTTACCGTGATCAGCGAACATAAACAGAAGCTCAACCGAACCTGCTTGACACGCGAGGACAAACCTCATTGGTTCTTGCTGAAGCTCAAACGTGCTGCGTAACACGAGAATGAACCTCATTGGTTCTCGCTGAAGCTCAAACGTGCTGCGTAACACGAGGATGAACCTCATTGGTTCTTGCTGAAGCTCAAACGTGCTGCGTAACACGAGGATGAACCTCATTGGCTCTTGCTGAAGCTCAAACGTGCTGCGTAACACGAGGATGAACCTCATTGGCTCTCGCTGAAGCTCAAACGTGCTGCGTAACACGAGAATGAACCTCATTGGTTCTTGCTGAAGCTCAAACGTGCTGCATAACACGAGGATGAACCTCATTGGTTCTTGCTGAAGCTCAAACGTGCTGCGTAACACGAGAATGAACCTCATTGGTTCTTGCTGAAGCTCAAACGTGCTGCATAACACGAGGATGAACCTCATTGGTTCTTGCTGAAGCTCAAACGTGCTGCGTAACACGAGGATGAACCTCATTGGCTCTCGCTGAAGCTCAAACGTGCTGCGTAACACGAGGATGAACCTCATTGGCTCTCGCTGAAGCTCAAACGTGCTGCGTAACACGAGAATGAACCTCATTGGTTCTTGCTGAAGCTCAAACGTGCTGCATAACACGAGGATGAACCTCATTGGTTCTTGCTGAAGCTCAAACGTGCTGCATAACACGAGGATGAACCTCATTGGTTCTTGCTGAAGCTCAAACGTGCTGCGTAACACGAGAATGAACCTCATTGGTTCTCGCTGAAGCTCAAACGTGCTGCGTAACACGAGGATGAACCTCATCAAGAGAACATGCTTGAGCTTCTGTTTACCACAACTGATGTGTGAGTTGATGAATGTTTATGTGAATAAAAGCCTAAATTAAATCTGTTCATTATATAAAGAGATCGAGTCTCTTCAGAAAATTTTGACTAAACCGCTCAATTCATATCGATTAGTTTTATGATCTCTTTATGACCTTTTTGAAGTGTCACATTTTTGGGTGAACTAACCCTTTAATAATACAAAACTGAATAAGACAGCAATAATGCTGCCAGTTTTAGTGTTTTTAGGTCAGAGTGTGTTTGTTGGTTGACAACTGTGCTATATGGAAAAATAGCTTGATTTGAGTGTGGTAGTTTGGTAGTTTAAGTGCATTTTTAATGTGAAATTTACTACTTTGCCAAGCTAAGTCTGGTAAGGAGAACTGTGTGAAGAGTTTTGAAAAGTATTGAGAAATGGGTCCTAGCGATTGTTTAAAAAAAAAAAAGGAAAAAGAAAAGGTGCTGTTGGACAATCTGGAGTGGAATGTTGGAATTACAGGTTCCAGATTATGATGATAACATCAGAGAAGATTTTCACATTATCAAAGTATTAAAATATTTGTCTTTTAGGGTGTACATTCCTCACAAACATCAAAAGGGCGAAAAATGTGCTTATTAATTGCCCGGAATTTTTCTCTGTAATTCCAAGTCAATTTAGACTGAGATGTCAATCAGGCGGATTAGGCTTGTTTGTCGTCGCCGTGGCGCTGACTGCCGAAAAATGAATAAATAGGAAGATTACGCGGTCAGAAATTTGGACTGATTTCATTACAATTTCATCATGGCCTCGTCTCAAATCTCTAAATTGCTTATTAAGCCGGATTTTAATGCTTGTTCCTCTGTCAGCACTTCAAATAAGCCAGATATTAGGGCACTTACTCATTTTTTCAGGCATGCAGGAGGGAAAAATGTTGTGCTGTTTTACCTTGGTGCTTTGTGAAAACACACACACACACACACACACACACACACACACACACACACACGTTGGGATTTCATGTTTTATGGGGACATTCCATATATGATTTATCACCTAAACCTTCTGCATTTTTACATTTTCAAAAAATATCACTAATATGATTTTTAAGCTGTTTTCCTCGTGAAGACCAAAAAATGTCACCACAAGGACAAGGATTATGGATATTACCTTCTTACCAACAAAATGTCCCTGGGTAAGGGTTTACCTGAACCACACCCACACACACATTGTGTGTGGTATTAAATATTAATAAAAAGTAACAGTTTAAAAATAATACTCAACACTGACATGTAATTGTAATACATTTACATTTATGAACTAATAAAATATATACTTTCAATGCAATGTCTGTAAATGTAATGCAATGCGTACGTGGTTCATACGTGTCTAGATATGCTTTCAAGGACGCTGGTGCGTACAGTAATCTGAAGCGTACTGGCACGATATTAATGTATTGCCAAAGTGCTGGCATGGATCAAACCCCTCTCAGGTCCAAATGAGCTCAAGCTGCTGCAGGCGCCAACATTTATTTCATTGCTTTTCAATTTGGAGGGCCATTTGTCAGTCTCTCAACGCCTGCAAGGCTGCTGTTTATTTTCTGTCTATCGGAAAGATGGCACGTCCCGCAGGGCAGGTGAAAGGGGCCTGTGTCTGGTGGCCGAGTGGCCGTCCGGACGCTGCATTTATTAACACCATGAACATGGTTGGAGGTCCACGTTTGGATTGCAAAAAGAGAAAAATGGGAGCTCCATCCAAACTCAACACTCAAAGCTAATCACCGTCACCTCGTGATTCCCTCCCTCTCTCCATCTCACACAGCCGGCCGCGATCGAGCTGAGTGTACGGTCCACCCAAAAGCCACCGATCTCCTCATTTGCCTTGACTGATGGAAAACATTAAGAACATGTTGAAATGTCATGTTAGTCTTCCACTCTCTTTGAGCTCGCACAGGCAAATAACGGTGCCAAACTTCAGCGGCGAACCCTTCCAAGAAGTGAAGATTAAAAATACATACTTCCATTCAACTTGAGAATATTTAGTCCACCAGAAAATGGATGACTTGTGTTCAAGGGTGTATGAATGTTTCTTGTCTTTCAACACTGTAAAATACAATGTTTGCTGTGCCACTTTTTAAGTCTGGAACTATAACAGACTGTGTTTACATTAATTAAAGGGACACTATTCAACTTTCTTTTTGTTCAAAATTAACTAAATTGATATAATGAGTCAACACATCATCAATCCTTCTTCCAAAGCGTTTTTGTCTTACCCTGATTCACTATGGTAAGCCTTCTATAAGTGTTTATATTTTAGACCTGTCAGGATGGTCATATCCGTAAATAGAGAAAAGTTGCTCCGGCTGCTTTGACGAGCGCCTGGTGTGGGAGTGGCTTATGTTAGTTGTCACAATGAGCGAGAAAGGTCGACATGGAGCAGCTAAATCTTAGCCTGGGAAAACCCAGACAACTTCCGGCAAATTTAGATTTGCTCTGAAAGTTAGTCTGGCAAAGAGCTCATTCAAGCTCATTTCCAATCCGCCGAAATCGCGGCACCAATCAGAAACGTTGGGGCGGGCTTTACACGATGACGACAGCGCTGGGATTTTGAAGCAGATTTTGTAGCCTACATTACAAAGATGGATGCCGCCGTCGAACATCACTCGTTCGAATCAGCTATCGCGTCTGTTTTAAGCGATTTGAACGTTTCCCTTTTGTTAAAAACCGAGCAAAGAACAACACTCGGAGATGTTTCTGCCACTCTGCATACGTCATCTCCTTCATCGCTCTGATTGGGTTTAGGTCTATCCGTGACGTCCTTTGGTGACGCCCCTCTGGAAATGATTTGTCTATGACGCTTTGCCAGACCATAACTCAGTTACAACTGAGAATGGTCTGGTTTTAACCAGGCTAGCTAAATCTCCAACCTCTGGGGAATCACCCGTTAAAAAAAAAAAAACAGAACACCTGAGTGTCTGCTATAGCAAAAAGAGAACGCGACAGAGCTCGTAATAAAACATTGGTTCGGCTTTTTGGAGAACTGAGGGATTTGAAACGTTATAAAAGCGGAGATGGCATTTGTATTACTCAACAGGTGAGTAAGTATGAACAGATAAATTGCTATATGTAGCTCTCTAACAGAGTTCAGTGTAAAGCAGTATCTATTGTGAAGGGTCATATTCATCTGCACAGTCAAAAAAAAAAAGTACTTTTTTTTTTAGAACAACAATTAAAAAAGAATTAATAAAATATTTATAAATAAAATATTAACCATAAGAGAACCATGAACATGTGAATGTGTTGTTAAATTATTTAAATACTAACTTGAAATCTAATATATATCCTATATTACTTTAGTTTAGAATCACTTTTAAAAACAACAGAAATTGAATCTAAAGTGCTGTACAAGTATGAAACTGATTTTTGGGAACCGATTACTTCAAGCTAATATTTTGTTCTGGAATCCCTGATGTGGGAAATAATTTAAAGTTTTTTAAATAATATTATTATAAAATTTCATATAGTTGTATTTTGTAATGCCTTATATTGTTTTTACTTCACTTCTTCTCAATAAATTTGATCATAAAATGTATTATTATTATGGAGTAATATAAATAATTGTTATTATTAATACTTATATTTAAATATTATTTATAATTATTTAATATATTTAAAATAAACAACAATACATAAAATATTAATCACTCTCACTCTTAATTGTCACAAAAAAATCTTGAATTAAGAGGAGAATCAGATTTTGAGTTTTAGATGTTGCACAGATGATCAGATATGTGTCACATTTAAAATCACATTAGAAAGTGTCCAAAATCAGATCTTTATGTTCTTTATGTGCAACAAGATTTGATCCTGGAATTAGTTGACGGTGTAAAGCATTCGCAGTGTCAATGGATTCGGCCAGCTCTACTCCTCAAACGCTGTGTGTTCTATCAGTGCTGGTGTAAAATGCAGGGCGTTTCTGTAAATGTCAGGCTCTTGGCACTCACGCCACAGCAGATGGGGAACAAAGAGGAAAGGGAGAGATGAGGATGTCGGGAACGTCGTGCCGCGCTCCTGCCGCGGCTCCCCTGATGAATGAAGATCTGGAGTTGTGTAGAGTGGGAGCCAAACGCAGCCGATGAACTCCAGGACACGCAGTGAATCACTGGGCCACAGTCAGGAGGTCATGAACTTCACCAACAATCAATTCTTCTCTTTTTGATCTCTTTTTCTCTCCCTCTGTCAGGGTGAGAATGAAAACAAAAATGAGATCTATTCAATGTTTCAATTGTTTCTAGACAACAGCAATATTCAATAGTTTGCTAAAGATTCCAGGTTTCAGATGTTTCTCCTGAGATAAAGAGTTATAAAACAGATTTTGATTAATTTTTTTTGACAAATATCAGCCACAAAATGGCCTACATCATCTCAACACAAAGTCCAAACCTAATGAAACTTGGACACCAGGATATTCTGAGAATGCATTGCAAAAACGACCAAACTATTAGGGGGCGTTATACATTAAATAAATTAAATAACATCACACTTCAGAACTGATCAAGTTGAAATTGATGTGCTGCGTGTCTTAAAATAAACAATGAGACATCAATAAAAATGGCTGCCAACAGCCAATCGAAACTTGGCGGCCTAATTTTAATTCTGAGCCATGTGTTATTTTTGTATCATTGATATACTTTTGTAGTTAATACTTTGAAATCATTTTATTTTTATAGCCTATTTTTACTTTCAATTTAATTTTACTTAAAATTTGTACCAAAAAAAAAACTTATTTATTTGTTTATTTTCCTTCGGAAAAGTTTTTTTTAATATATTTTATTTTTTATTTCTGCCCACATTTATTTTATTTCAAGTGGCGATTTTTTTTATGGTTTTCAAGAATAATTTTGAATGATCAAACTCTTTGGCAAATATTAGTCAATAAATTTTCAGGTGTGACCCATAATGCCTTATTGTGATGTCCAGTATTTTATTTCAGACTGTTTTTATTTTCCTTTGGCTCTACACTATTTTCTCACAAGCATGAATGAATGAAACATCAATTCAGCTGAAGTTGATCCTTTAACGAAGCATAATGGAAGCATTCATTAGGTCTCCTATAGCAATGAAAGAGCAACAACTGAGCAATAACATTTTCCTCTGGGTTTGTGATTTCTGTCAAAAGTTAGTGGTTTGAAGAAATGATCGGAGCTCGTTTAAATTTACACATGCGTGTGTGATCGAAAGACAGAAAAATAGAGAAGAAAAAAGAATGAATGAAGAGGAAATGTGTGTGTGGTTTTCAGCAAAGCTTGTTTATAATTCATAATTGCTTTGGCCTGGGGACGTGCCAGCTGTATGAAACCAATTCCATCTGTTGGAATCACGCATGCGAGGTGAGAGACGGGAATACGCACAGGCTATAAATGCAGGAAAGCGTGCAGACAAACTTATGCTCGCAATCATGCATGCGCACATACTTATAAACATGCACATTCTGAACACACACCTTCAGGCCATCTGTAATACGGCTCATTGCTCGCAATGCTCTTCAAGTCATGGTCAGGATCAAACACAGCGCTCATGTAGCACAACACACTCGAACTGTTTCAGGGATGTTCGAATCACTCAAGTATTGTGATGGTCCGATAAAAATGTCTTGCTCAAACTACCATAAGAAACACCATTTTGATAGAGCAAGGTGCTCGCAAAAATTAAACAAGCCAGCAACAAGTTTATTCTAACACATTCTAACAGATGATTGCTGTCTCTATGTCATACAAACAGAACTCCTCAGAGAAGCACAGGCTTTAACAGACTTCGGCACTGGCAAGCAGCCAAATAGAAATATGCATTTGAATTATGCATCTTAGAATTATGCATTCGATGTCTTAAAATGCAGCTCACTATGTTTGAGAACAGATCCTCTATGTTTCACTGATTTCACTAGTCATTTTATTCTCTCCAGTAATTCTTATAATTTAATGAACAGCTTTTTTCCATCTCTCCAACTGACTGTTATCAGCCCGGCCGCGGCTGTATTTATTCGCTGCCTTTGGCTGTGATATTTCCCCATAATGATTCTGAGAAAAACGAAGAAAAAAAACCATTTCATATTTCTCCAGCCAAAGCAGGACATAAACTCGTTTCCTCTGATCTGCATTTGAGAGGTTGAACGAGTGCCAGTGGGAAGAAGTTTTAGATGAGAAAGAGGCCGAGCACATTTTCTGTGTAAACGCTGATTCCAGGCATCTCCTGCCCTTTGACCCCGTTCTATATCTTTGATCTCTGTACCGAGAGAAAATGTAAATGAATGACGCCGAGGATGGCGCTCACTTGCTGGTTGATCTCACATGATTCAGTCCAGCGTTAGTCTTTTAGTGATTGTGAAATGATTGGATCACTCATCATTTTGTCGAATTTTAAGCAACGGGTTGTACAGCCAAAATTAACATTCATCAAGCATCAAATTGGAGTAAAGATTGTCTTTGGTGTAAAGACATCAAATATAGCAGTTATTCAGTTGTTGGTTGGTAACTTTACTGGGAATCGAACTAATAAACGGTTTAAGAATGAAAATCTGACCCTCGCTAATGCAATGTGAGCAATTCAAATGTAAGACAAACAGATTGTAAAAGAATAGATGTTTTTTGACAACCATCAGAAGGCTGTGTAACGACACGCATGTGGAATATTCCTCACATCATACAGTATATATACACTGAACAAAATTATAAACGCAAAACTTTTGTTTTTGCCCCCATTTTTCATGAGCTGAACTCAAAGATCTAAAAAACATACACATTCTGAACACACACCTTCAGGCCATCTGTAATACGGCTCATTGCTTGCAATGCTCTTCAAGTCACGGTCAGGACTCACACAGCTCAAACACTTCTCCTTTGCCGAGATAATCCATCCACCTTACAGGTGTAGCATTTCAAGATGCTTATTAGACAGCATAATTATTGCACAGGTGTGCCTTAGGCTGGCCACAATAAAAGGCCACTCTAAAATGTGCAGTTTTACTGTATTGGGGGGGGGGGGGGGGGGGGGGGGTTTCGGCTTCCAGGAATCGTGTACAGGTCCTTGCAACATGGCGCCGTGCATTATTATGCTGGTGATGAGGTGATGGTCGTGGATGAATGGCACAACAATGGGCCTCAGGATCTCGTCACGGTATCTCTGTGCATTCAAAATGCCATCAATAAAATGCACCCATGTTCGTTGTCCTAACATACGCCTGCCCACACCATGGGACACTCGATCCACAACGTTGACATCAGCAAACCACTCACCCACACGATGCCATACACGCTGTCTGAAGAAGTGCTCACTAACACAGATTTAGACAGATTTGTGAACAATATTTGAGAGAAATAGACCTTTTGTGTACATAGAAAAAGTCTTAGATCTTTGAGATCAGCTCATGAAAAATGGGGGCAAAAACAAAAGTGTTGCGTTTTTAATTTTGTTCAGTGTATACATATACACTCACCTAAAGGATTATTAGGAACACCTGTTCAATTTCTCATTATAATAATAATAATAATAATTCATTACATTTATATGGCGCTTTTCTAGGCACTCAAAACGCTTCACATGGAAGGGGGAATCTCCTCAACCACCACCAATGTGCAGCATCCACTTGGATGATGCGATGGCAGCCATAGTGCGCCAGAACGCTCACCACACACCAGCTTACTGGTGGAGAGGAGACAGAGTGATGAAGCCAATCAGTGTATATATATATGGGGATGATTAGGAGGCCATGATGGACAGAGGCCACTGGGCAAATTTGGCCAGGATGCCGGGGTTACACCCCTACTCTTTCGAAAGACATCCTGGGATTTTTAATGACCACAGAGAGTCAGGACCTCGGTTTAACGTCTCATCCGAAGGACGGTGCTCTTTGATAGTATAGTGTCCCCGTCACTATACTGGGGCGTTAGGACCCACACAGACCACAGGGTAGCACCCCCTGCTGGCCTCACACCTCTTCCAGCAGCAACCTGGTTTTCTCAGAAGGTCTCCCATCCAGGTACTAACCAGGCTCAGCCCTGCTTAGCTTCAGTGGGCAACCAGTCTTGGGCTACAGGGTGATATGGGTGCTGGCGACATCAATTAATGCAATTATCTAATCAACCAATCACATGGCAGTTGCTTCAATGCATTTAGGGGTGTGGTCCTGGTCAAGACAATCTCCTGAACTCCAAACTGAATGTCAGAATGGGAAAGAAAGGTGATTTAAGCAATTTTGAGCGTGGCATGGTTGTTGGTGCCAGACGGGCCGGTCTGAGTATTTCACAATCTGCTCAGTTACTGGGATTTTCACGCACAACCATTTCTAGGGTTTACAAAGAATGGTGTGAAAAGGGAAAAACATCCAGTATGCGGCAGTCCTGTGGGGGAAAATGCCTTGTTGATGCTAGAGGTCAGAGGAGAATGGGCCGACTGATTCAAGCTGATAGAAGAGCAACTTTGACTGAAATAACCACTCGTTACAACCGAGGTATGCAGCAAAGCATTTGTGAAGCCACAACACGCACAACCTTGAGGCGGATGGGCTACAACAGCAGAAGACCCCACCGGGTACCACTCGTCATCTCCACTACAAATAGGAAAAAGAGGCTACAATTTGCAAGAGCTCACCAAAATTGGACAGTTGAAGACTGGAAAAATGTTGCCTGGTCTGATGAGTCTCACTGTAAATAATCTTTACTGTTACACACAGAACTGACTGACGGTGTAAATGTGGCCAAAGAAAGTGTATTTGCATGAAACCTCACCTTCAATTTAAAGGTTTCATTGCAAAGTGAGCAAAACAAAGAACAAGTCAAGTAAATATGGGCACCTAGATGGAAAATGACTAAGTTTAACTTACGAAATATGACACTCTGCATTTTTACAGCAAACAAAGATGCCTTTCAGCAAACTGCCCTGAAATAAGGTTCATATTAAGGCTCATTTTCAGCGTGGATAGGATCCAGATCCAAAACGTTCCAGAAATTACAAAAATTAGAGATGAATAAAATCTGCTGGAACAAAGGGGATACTGGGGAGGAATGCTGCCCGGAAAAGCCTGGAAGTTCATCTGCTTCTCCCACAACGGATGGAAGGAAACAGTAGTAAGGAACAAAGTGGTAATCGGCACAGAGATAACGTCATTATAAAGATGGGCGTGGAGCAGTTCACTCAAACGTGTTCTCAGGCCTCAAACCAACAGGTTATCTCTATTAAGAAAAGGTTTTCCTTTCTTTCCTGAGAACTAAAATTCATGCTAAAGATGATCTGATGTGTGTGTGTGTGTGTGTGTTCCTGGCAGGCCGTCAGATCTAAAATCTCCACTGCGATCTGAACAAAACAATCCCAGATTCCCAGAACTGAAATGCTCAAGATACTACGGAGTCCCTAAAGAGACATGGTGATGTTAAAAAATGAGATGGGAGGAAAAATTATATTTTGATACCTTTGCATTCCCCCGAGAAACTTTGCATTTGTTTGCAAAACTTTTTTTTTTTTAAATTTTACTCTAGTAAATGTATTAGGAATGTTTAAATCTTTGTACTGGAAAGCAAGATAAAAATACTAAATAAGAAAATCTTTTTCTTTTTTAAATCAAAGTTGTAATTTGGTCATATTATGCAAAAGGTGCAAAGATATTATTATTTTATTTATTATTATTTTAATCCAATTAATACAAAATTAAATTTTAAATGCAATGTCCAACCACGAATAAATGATGATTTGAGTTGTGCTGGAAATTACATTTACTCATTAAAGATCAGAATTAACATGAAAGATTATGTATGTCCACAGTTGGACATTTTTAGTAGACAAATGAAATTAACGAGTGTTTATATGCTCTAACATCAGCAGTCGTACAGAAAATGTTCATAGTCTATAAATCTCTGAGGAGCTCCACATCTCCTGAGAGTTCAGTATTGTTTGCTGGTCTTGTTTGGAAGTCTAAATCTGATTCTCACCTGTTCACAGAAAAGCTGCAGAATGAATGGTGAAGGCCTGCGGGCAGGGTATCCTACACCCTGGGAATGTCTTCAAGCTTTTGTACGTGTCTGTAAACAGATCTGCTCATCATTTATTTACAACAGACCATTTCGTCAACACCCAGCCAGGCCACGGAGAAGATACATGGAACGTCCCACAACATCCTAATGGAGGTTCAACACACAATGGAGATGAAATCAACAAGGACACCCTGAAGAGAAGATAAAGAGACACAAGTGAGACACTCAAAAACACCTTGCTTTTTGGTTTGAGGACATACGCAAAGACATAAAAATATAAATCTAAATGAATTTAAATATAAGTACATAAACAACTGTAAATAAAATATATGAACAACAATAGTCACAATAGCCTGGTTTCCATTGCAGATTTGCGGAAAACTTTTGCGATATTTTCTAAATGTCTAATAAATGTTTAATAAAAAACTCTGTCTCGTCTTCTGTCCAAACACACCGCGCCATCTTTAAAGAATTATTGACTTTTATGTACGCCAGGTGACCTGTAAATGCGAAAAAACTGTTTCAGTTTTCACCTCATGTGAACGCTAAAAACATTTTCGCGATATATGGGAGTTTTTGCGAAATTGACCGGTTTCCATTGGCCGTATTTTCAATTCGCAATTACAATTTGCGCAATTTGAAGGGTAATGGAGACACAGCTAATGAAACAGACAGATATTTTCCTCCATATTGTAACGTACATACAAGTGTAACGGATTATCGAAAAAGAAAAACATTTAGGGCGGGACTTGGTTCTGTGTACCGGTTGTTGATTGGATGTTGAGATGTGGGCATGGCAAAAATGCTTGCAGGGGATTGTAAGAGTTTTCTTGTTTTTTTTAAGCATAATCTCACTTCATTTTGATCAGTTTTTCTTATTTTATGTTATGATATTTACTGGAAAACAAGACTGAGGATGAACAGCAGTTTTTGCAATGATTTTGAAGTTGTAATGTCAAATTATTCAAAAAGTGCGAAGATATGATTATTATTTCAATTCTTTGGATTAAAAAATAGTTTTTGCAAAAATATGTACAGATGAATTTTTCACAATTAGATCAATAACATGCATTTTGAAATAAGAATGCTGAATTTAAGAGGTTTGCCTGCACTAATTTTTTTAACCCTTTTGCACATCTGACAAATAATTTTACTTTGCTGCAATAGTGCTAGTTAAGCAAAACTTAGACTACATCCCTGGGCCATTTTCTTGATTCTTGACTTCACAAAAAAACAAAAACAAAATTTTTGCAGGTGGATAAAGTGGATATTGAAACCTGTTTAACAGAATGCTGTAAAACGAGGCGGGATATGATAGTCCGGTCAACTTTAGCAGTGCTTATGTAGCACATCTTACTGCATTAACATTTGAAGGCATACTAAGAGATTTAGCACATAATGAGTGTCATGGGAAGAGAGGTTTTAATCATCGCCTTTGTTCTCTCCGATGAAATTTAGTAAACAGAATTCATCTGGAAAACAAAACAGCTACTGTAGTATGTGCCGTGCCATAAATCAGGAAAGTCTTTGGGTTTGTTTTTGGAAAACACAGGCGCGTCTGCTCATTACAACCCTTCAACACAATGCGAAGAACTCGCTTTACCTCTTTGATTATATTGGGCTCTCTGCAGGATCCCAGACTCTCGTCTCATTAGTTTTCTCCAAATGCCTCTCAGAATTTGTCTTACCTCTGTTGTGAACCCATATCCCCCCCTGCGGAGATCTGAATTCTGGGGATGTTTACCCAAAACAGTGGGGCGGTCTCTTCCAAACCGAGATTAAACTTCAAGTATAACCAATCATGTCTTTCTGGGCTAAAGCCCTCACATTTTCTGCCTTCAGACCAAAAGAGATTTATTATAACTCCTTCACCGAGGGCAACAACACAACCAACCGAATCACCCATAAAATGACTTGCTTAGAGGTTAAAACATTACAAACCGAAAAGAAATACATCTAAAATTGGACAACAGCTGGATTTTAGATAGTTGTGACCAAGGGCACTGAAAACATCGGCTGACCTAGATACACGTCTACTGATAAAACACAACATGAGGCAAAATATCAAGCACAAGAAGGCCGGAAGACAGAAATAGTGCCCTACAGTCACAGATCTTCTGAACATCGTGATCATCCTCCAAACACAGGCTGAAAAAATTCAAACCTGATACCCAGCTAACACAAATATGTTCTAAGGTTGTTTTGATAATGTTACCAATAATTTACATTTATGTTAAACATTTTTTACTTTGTTGTGCAAACATTAGGGGTTATTCTATTTGATCATTTTGCAGACATTATGGGAATGTTACTTTGAATGTTCTCTGAACATTCTGATACAAGTTAACATTTCAAAGAAGTTATACTACGGGGCTGTTGAATGCTTGAATCTGATTGGTTGATGCACGGCTAAAGTAGTTCCAGGCAGATCTTCATGACCGCATTACAGTTCCATATCACCAAACGATTTCAGTTATTTCAAAGGTCATTACAGCCGACAACAGCAAAAGAACCAAAACCCACAATGACACTGACCAAGCAAATAAATATAGTAACAAACTAACAAATTAGTTCCATGTATGTTTGTTTTTTTTTGCCACAAAATTACGTTTTCTTATGTACGGAAAGCACATACTCTCTTTCTCCTGCTCTCTCTTCCACTCACACACATACAGTCCAGACACACACTCCCACAGAAACGTGTTTCAGTGCTGCGCTGACGGGTTTATCAGTAAAATAGTTTAGCAACTTAAAAGCTTCATGACATTCCTCACTAGAGGCCTCTATCTATCTATCTATCTATCTATCTATCTATCTATCTATCTATCTATCTATCTATCTATCTATCTATCTATCTATCTATCTATCTATCTATCTATCTATCTATCTATCTATCTATCTATCTATCTATCTATCTACCCATCCATCCATCTTTGTGGAAAGTTACTTGTGATGAATGTTAATTCATTATGTGACTTTCTCTGTACCACCTGTGTTTATTTTATATTATATTATATATTATATTAACATTATTTCAGTTAATGACATTTTTACTGTGAGTAAAATATAAATTCATTCTGTAAAACCTAAAATATTGCTGCAATTTTTTACAGTAAAGTTCTGGCAACCAGAAGGTTCATTGGGGTTCTAGAAGTCTAGGGTTCTTGACTCAATTTTAAAGAACACTTTATGCCAAAAAGGTTCTAATAAGGAGAAATGTCTTACATGATACTTTAATGTTTAACAGGTTGCTTAAATTCTTTTCTAGTGATAAAGTATGTTTATGAGCAGTTTAATAAAATCGAATTCAAAAAAGTAATTAATATAAACTAAATCTTTAAAATGATCCCATAATGGGAACTCCTAAAAGGTTTTATATATATATAACAAACAAATCTGTGAAAATGTACTGAATAAAACAGCAGAACAAAGAAGAAAAGGTTCTATATATGAAGCGCCTGACAGAACCTATTCTTCTATGTTCTGCCATTTTATACAGTACATTTTCACAGATTTTTTTTAGTTTACATTCCTCCAAAAGTGCACAAACAACAGCATTTTGATACTATTGTTCCATTTTTGGCTTTCAGGTTTTGCATATGTTCACAATTAACATGGAGACGGAGTCCGATTGCGGTGGGACTCTGGATGAAATCATAGCTTGAGTATCTTATTGGACTTTATGACTTTGATCAGCGAAGAGAACTAGAATCCCTGTAAGAGTTCAGCTGTCTGTGGATATCAGCCAATCTCGGATCAAATTTCACAGACAACAACAGGGAATAAGAGATACAGAAGATCTTTTGTTGAAATGCACGATGGACGGATCTATATTCTGTTTCTCGGGACGTGACACCCTGAAGCAGAAAGAGGCGTGTTTTGGTTCTGCAGACTGTATGTTATTTTCCCAGCAGACAGTGGGAGTGATAATTTGCTTCAAGGAAAGTGTTTCAGAGAAACTACGGTAGTTCTTTATGCATCTGAAATTGAACGGCGAACAGATAGACTATAATCTAACATAGTGCAACTGAATGCAAGAACTAATGCTGCAGGCCAGTTGCTTTTAGACTGGACCAAAATTATTCACCATAGAAGTAAAAAATCCTTCTTAAAATCAAACACTGAAATGTATTAACGGAATTTAGCCAATAAATACAGCACAAACTAAGCTTCCAACATAGACACAATTAAATCCCATTTTAGACTTCTATATGTAAACCTCTTTAAAAGTTAATGATTAACAATGCTTACAAGTTGTGGATTTTCTGTCAGGACCAGTGCTTTGTTCTTCAATAATAGTCTCTTTTTGAATGATACTGGTTAATCTTACAAAAAAACTAAGCAATTGCACCACTAAATAAAAATAAAAATAAAATAAAATAAAATACGTTTTGCATTTGGATTGTTTTGCAGTTTGACATTACTTTCATGGCAATTATACACATTGACCCCTAAATTCACAATATTGTAATGCATCTGGATATTTGGAGTTGTTTTGTAATTATTCTCAATAGTGTGTGCATGTTATTGTAGTGGATTACATTTACTGTATGCATTTGGCAGATGCTTTTATCCAAAGCGACTTAAATTGGATACATGGTATAGATTTTTTTACTTTAAACTTTATTGTCCTTAAAGGCAATTCTTTGTGTAGACAGCAGTATACACATGCACATATAACAACACATATCACAACACAACACACAGATTACAGTCAATCATTTAAAAACCTAATTACAGCAGGTATAAAGGAATTTCTGTATCTATTTGATTTACACAAGGGGAGTTTAAATCTCCGTCCTGAAGGAAGTAGTTGAAGTTCACTACATAATGGGTGAGTGACATCAGAAAAGACTAACTGGCCCTTCCTAATCATCCTATGCTCATAAATTTGTGTGATAGTCCTTAAGTCAATCCCAACTATCTTGCTACATATTGTAACTATGCTTGTCAACTTCCTCCTATTCTTAACATTAAGATTACCATACCAACAAATAATAGAAAAACTCAAAACAGCCTCGATAAAACAGGTATAAAACATTTTCATAAAAGACACATCCATGTTAAAGGTTCGAAGTTTCCTTAGAAAATACATTCGCTGAAGAGCCTTTCCTCTAATGATATCAGTGTTTGCCTCAAATTGTAGTTTGTCATCAATTACAGTCCCTAAATATTTATACTGTGTAACCACTTCTACCTGATGTCCCTTTATGACAGAAGGCAACACAGGTACAGAGTTCTTCTGAACATCAATGAACATCTCTTTTGTTTTTTGATGCATTGATATTTAGAATGAAGCATCACACCATTGGATAAAATGATCTGTCACTGGACCAAAGTCTGATTCAAACTCATTAAGAAGCGACACAATCACAGAATCGTCCGCAAATTTAACAATGTGTCTCCCATTAAAAGTACTACGACAGTCGTCAGTATATAAAGAAAACAGAAGAGGGGACAAAACGCAACCCTGTGGAGTACCAGTAGAAGACAACAATACATTCGACAACACTCCATTGACACGTACTCTTTGGGATCTATTTGTTAAAATATCCACCAACCAACACACAATGTTAAAATCTAAGTGAAAATTATCAATCAATTTCTTTGCCAAGATAAAAGGCTGAACACAGTTAAAAGCAGAAGAAAAATCAATAAATAGCAAATGTACATGATTTTTTTTGCCTTCCAAATGTCTTAAAAGATTTTAATCAGTTCAGGCATTCTCTGCAATCGAACCCATGACCTTGGTGTTGCAAGCCCCGTATTCTACTGTTAGAGCTACAGGAATTCTACAGGATAAGGTTTCTTTCTGCATATCTCATGTTGTTTATAAAATTGTGTCAAATCACACAAAGTAAAGAAGGACTCCAAATCCCAATGCTGAAATGCATATGATTGAAAAGAGCATGTAAACAAAACCGCTGTCTATCTGACCAGCAATGTTTCTTTCTTCACACAAAACTAAAGATTCAGTCCAAAACAAACTTTTGTAAACGATGGAAAGGCCGAACCAGGGGATCTACAGGCGTCTGTGCTGTATGAGACAGATCATATTCCTCAACGCCTGCCATGTGTTCGTCATAAAGTGTCAATTCACTGCCAAGCACGTTTGGAAGAAGTTTGACAGTTTGATTTGGGTTCGGCGGGTGTCCCGTTTCAGACATGCGACTGACTGTTATTCCCGATCCCAATAATCAAACGGGAACCTGTGCAGACATTTCAGCGGGTCTCTTAAGTACAATAATAGCAAACATTTGGAATCATTATCATCATTTTAGGCTCACAGTCAAACCTCGACAATCCTGACTATTCACAGGGTCCAACGTTAATACTCGCCAATGCCAAAGTGAGTAAAAACGAAACCTTCGGTGAGTAAATAAAACATGATCGCCAGTTGGCCGGTAACTTGCAGCTTAAAACAGGATTTAAATGGCATTATAAGAATGATCATCTGATGTGAGTGATGCAAGTCCTTTTGTTTTAATAAAAAAACGACTGGTAGGGGAGGATTCAGAGACTGCAGACGCTGTTTTCAGTAAACATGGACAGAGATTACATAATCAGGGATTTTTAAGGGCCTTGAGATAAAAGACAGTAAAGGCCCCTAAATATATTAGGTGCTCTGTTCCAAAGCCTAGTGAATTGCCTAAGACGGCATCAGATGTGCGCTACAGATGTGTCAAAAAGCAGGCAGCATATTTAAGGTGGCACCGCAGCAAAAACTGTTTTCAACACTGATAATAATACGATTTTTTTCTTGAGCATGAAATCAGCATATTAGAATGATTTCTGAAGGATCATGTGACGTTGAAGACTGAAAATTCAGCTTTGATCACAGGAATAAATTACATTTGAAAGAAAACAGCTATTTTAAGTTGTAATAATATTTAATTTTACTGTTTTTATTACATTTTTGATCAAATAAATGCAGCCATAGTGAGCATAAGAGACTTCTTTCAAAAACATTAAAAATCTTAATGATTCCAAACTCTTGACCAGTATTGTGTGTGTGTGTATTAAAAACATGTGTGACATTGTTTTATAAAAGCTAATTTTTTTAAAGCACTTGAGAACATGTTATAGTGATTTTACTTTCGATAGAAAGATATACAAGTGGGTTCTAGACACACCTTAATGATGGATTATTCTTAAAATCTTACCAAACTGGCTCGTGCATTCATTCTGATGCATAAAAAACGAATCTCTTAAAGGGATAGTTCACCCAAAAATAAAAACTGTGTCATCCTTTACTCACCCTCATGTTGTTCCAAACCTGTATGAATTTCTTTCTTCTGCTGAACACAAAAGAAGATATTTTGAAGAATGTTGGTTGCCAGACAGTTGCCATTGACTTCCATTGATTTTTCAAAATATATTCTTTTGTGTTCAACACATGAAGAAATTCATACATGTTTGGAAACCATGAGGGTAAGTAAATAATGGCAACATTTTAATTTTTGGGTGAATTATTCTTCTAATGTCACTCATTTCCTGCATTTCTAGCACATGGTTGGTTTTCTGTGAAATAATAGCTGTGAATAAACAAAGGCTAAACGCTCCACGTCAAGCTGAAGAGAATATAAGACTCACACATGTGCACAAACACACACTGGATGGAACAGAATATCTCAGCGGGATTGAGGCCGCTTGTGTCACGTGATCACCTCAACTGGAACAGCACACTGATTTCTCAAGTGAATATTCCAGAACGCTGTCAAAACAGATCTGATTTTGATTCGGCACAGAGGACGTGCGCACACCTCTCTGGATCTGAGTTCAAAGGGGCGATCCGGAAAGTTTGATGCCGGTTCTCTCACGAGGGGAAGCCAGCAGATGCTCGCAGTTTTGCTCAAGGCCAGCTGCTGCTTGCGTTCAGATATATTGACAGGTTTTCAAAATTACGGGCTCAAGACTCTTACTTTGGCTTCGATCAATGGAGTCTTTGTGTTTGTCTGGATCTGAGATCAGAGAACTGGACCAAACTCCACACGTTCCGGCTCTTCCTGCTGGAAACAGCGTTGTGATGCCATATGTAATCAGCCATCCATAGGATAACTGTAAAACAAAGAGACATTTTCTCTAGTTTAGTGTTCAATCTGGTTCAAATAAACGAAACTAGTTACTATTGTTTTACCTGAACTTCAAGTCTTGTTTTTAGTGTGTAAATGCATTTTTCTGTTGGTCACTTCAGTTAACGTTAGTTAATGCATTAACTAAAATAAACTGATAATTAGAAATTCATTTGTTACAGTGTTTATTAAACTTTATTTACATTAGTTCATTGTTAGTCCATTAAAGGGATAGTTCGGCCAAAAATGATATTTAACACATGCATTACTCACCCTCAAGCCGTTCGAGATGCATATGTCAATCTTGTTTCAGACGAACACATTTTCAGTTATTTTAGAAAATTTCTTAGACCCTTCAGTGGATATAATGTGAAGCAATGGGGTCCACCTCTTTCAAGTCCCAAAATGTGCATACATCCTTCACAAAAGTAATCCATCCGGCTCCAGGGGGATAAACGAAGGCCTTCTGAGGGTAATCCGTGCGGTTTTGTCGTAAAAATATACATATTTAAAACTTTATAAATGAAAATATCTGACTTCCGGCAACGATCGACGCGCGTTCACGGGTGATGGAAGTCATTTTTGGCCGAAGTATCCCTTTAAATAACGCCAGATGCAACTTTTGATTTTAATAGTGTATTAGCAAGGTTTTTACAGTTAAATAAAACTAAAGACATTCTTGTTACTTGAAATATAATGAACTGACTAAAATATATAAATATAAAAATGCAGACTAATTCAAAATGTGAATAAAAACTATAATAGTATCTCGATACTAAAATAACTGCATTAGTAAATGTTGAAATAACATTAAGCAAGATTAATAAATGCTTTGTAAGTATATATTTCATTGTTAGTTCAATATAAACAAGTTTAATGCAACATTACTGTACACTCAAATGTAAGCCTTTAAAAAAAAAAAAAAAAAGATTTACGCAATTTAATTAATAGTAAAATTCCATCAAATTGAATTGAATAATCCTTAATCAACTATTCAATTAAAATACGTAAGGATAATTCAATTCAATTTGATGGAATTTTACTATTAATTAAATCGCGTAAATCAATAAAAAAAGGCTTAAAACTTTTTTGACTGTATATAGACCCGCTGCTCTAAATGATTACAGTTCGTTTACAGAAGATGAACTTCATTTCATGCCTCACAGATGGAAAGCATGAGTGTGAAAGGTTGGATGAAGATGAGAATCTCACCATCCATTAACCGCAAATAAATCAAACCACACCGGTGCAGAACTGGAACCAGAACACAACCACTTTGTGCCTAAAACCTCTAATAGTGTGTGATGTGATGGAGGGAATTCGGCGGCTCACAGGCTGACAGACTGAAGCCCTTTAGAGACAAAATACAGAAGGAATGAGAAAAGTAAAGAACGAGAGAAATCGAAATAGACAGAAGCGGCTGACAGCTGGCAGGCCGCTGATATCCGTCATGCTATTGGAGAGACTGTGTGTGTGAGAAAGACAGGTCATGAAATTTACATGGCCGCACTGCTCTGGAGCGTATGAAGACGAGCTGAGACCCGGATCCCCTGACGCACCTTTGAAGTGCAAGTTGAGCTGCTCAAATCACTGCTGCTCACACACATCTGCACAGAGCAGAGCTCCATGAGATTCTCTCATTACACACACACACACACACACACACACACACACTGGCGGAACCATCTCAGGACGTGTGCAACTGGAAACACTGCAGCATTTCATCTCACACAAACCTCAATAACACTGTGTGTGTGTGTGTGTGTGTGTGTGTGTGTGTGTGTGTGTGTGTGTGTGTGTGTGTGTGTGTGTGTGTGTGTGTGTGTGTGTGTGTGTGTATCTGTGTGTTAGCAAACCAGAGCATGCATCTATTTACATATCTATATATCTTTTGTTGTATTTATCTATCTAGATTTATCTAGCGTTGGATCTACTTATTGTTCTGCCTATCTGTTGCTTTATATCTATCTTTGTATACATAGCCTATCTATTGTGCATCTATCTACTGTAGTATCCATCACCGAACCTGATTTCACCAAGTACAACATGTTCCTGGATCAACATTACAATCAACCAATCAGATTTAAGGAAAAAGTTTGCAGTTTATGCCAAGTTTAGGCTTACAACCAAGGTTAGGTGCTTCTACATCAGTGTTATCCACCGATCATTTCCCTCTGATTTTAGGGAACTTATGGGTAGGGTTAGGTTTAGGGGTAGGGATTGAGTTAGGACTACATTTTCAGACAGGAATGTTGTTCCAGGATCAACAAAATATGTTGACCCAACATGTCAAACTCTACAAAATCAGGATGAGCAGTATCCATCTATTGTTGTATCTATCTATCCATCTTTCATTGTATCCATCCATCCATCGTTGTATCTATGCATCTTCATATCTATTTATCATCTAACTATTTATCTATCCATCATTGTATCTTCGTGTGGCAAGCAGGGCAGTTGCGCAGGTGCTAATAAGCGTCCCCTGAGAGCCACAATGGTCTCGAGTCTCACGGAGGAGATCCGGGAGGATAAAAGGAGGAGTGACAACAGTGCAAGGTGAGAGAGGACCAAGCCTGGAATTTATGTTGTGTTTTTACAACGCATTCTCATCCCAAGGCGTCACTAAAATGACAATTTTGACCATGCTTCAATATTCAACGCTTTAGGCACCCTTTAGCGTCAGTTACATGACGCGATCCTAGGGCGTCATCTTACTGACGCTTTACCTTTAGCGTCAGTTAGATGACGCGGGTAGGTTTAGGTCTGGGGTAGGGTTAGGATTAGATAGCGTCATCTAACTGACGTTAAAGGTAAAGCGTCAGTGAGATGACGCCCTAGGATCGCGTCATGTAACTGACGCTAAAGGGTGCCTAAAGCGTCAAATATTGAAGCATGGTCAAAATGATTCCCAAGGCGTCATTTTTATGACGCCTAGGGATGAGAATGGGCTGGTTTTTATTATGTTTAAATGCGGCAGTTGTCCGCGAGGGGATGCCGCACTTTCATTTTGGTGTTTATTTTATTAAAAGTTACATTGATCGTTTGCCAGTTCCCGCCGCCGCTGAGCCTTTACCTTTGCTATACTTTGTATCTAAGTATCTGTCATCTATCTATCCATCTAGCATCCATCGTTGCATCTATGTATCGTTATATCTTTCGTTGCATCTAACGATCCATCTATTGTTGTAGGTGAAACTCGAAAAATTAGAATATCGTGCAAAAGTTCATTTATTTCAGTAATTCAACTTAAAAGATGAAACTAATACATTATAGACTCATTACATGCAAAGTGAGATATTTCAAGCCTTTATTTGTTATAATTTTGATGATTATGGCTTACAGTTTATGAAAACCCCAAATTCAAAATTAGAATATTGTGAAAAGGTTTTCGCAGCTGTAAGCCATAATCATCAAAATTATAACAAATAAAGGCTTGAAATATCTCACTTTGCATGTAATGAGTCTATAATGTATTAGTTTCATCTTTTAAGTTGAATTACTGAAATAAATGAACTTTTGCACGATATTCTAATTTTTCAAGTTTCACTATCTCCATCCATCTTTGTATCTATCGATCATTTTATCTATCCATTATATTCCTCAGTGTGATATATAGTCCTCTGGTTGATAATTGTACGAGTCTGCGGTGTCTACAGTCATTCCAGATCAAAACAGTTCCCAGTAAAACAACGGTGTGTGTTGGAAGCGGTCCAGGTCTCTGCCCGTGGCATCATGGATTCCCGCCTTCTGTTGCGCCTGCACAGGGACGCATGTGTGTTTTGGTTCAAAGCGTGCGCCGCTTATTGTTTTGATTTGAGATTGTATTTGTTTCTGCCTGATAGACGTCTGCAGGCAAGATTCAGGGCACTTCAAACTGCCTTCGAACGAGAGCCAAGAACCAGAGACAACTTCTGCTATTGACATCCAACGAGCAAACGGTCTGTTTCAGGCAGAGGAGAGCGTTTCAAATACAATGTTGTTCAAAAACAAAATATATAATTTTTTAAAAGTCCATAAAAAAAAAACCTTTGTACTATTGCTATTACGATTGACTGGGGAAAAAATCATCCCTCGCATGTGAACTAAATCATGATGACGACATCCTAAAAAAATCATTATAGAGTCGGTACTCAAGAAAAAGCTCTTACTATCTAAAGACAGTTGAAATTGGTTGTGCTACTTAAAGGATTAGTTCACTTCAAAATTAAAATTCTGTCATCATTTACTCACCCGTAAGTTGTTTCAACCCTGTATGAATTTCTTTCTTCTTTCAGAACATAAAAGAAGATATTTTGAAGAATGTCGGTAATCAAACAGTTGATGGACCCCAATGACTTCCATAGTATTTTTTTTTTTCTTCATACTATGGAAGTCAATGGGATCCGTCAACTGTCTGGTTACCAACAGTCTTCAAAATATCTTCTTTTGTGTTCAGCAGAAATTCATACAGGGTTGAAACAACTTGAGGGTGACACTTTTCACTTTGACGTGAACTATTCCTTTAACTGAAGAAAACACAATACATAATAATAATGTCTTCCAATACATACACATGCATTTCTAAAGTCTAATTTTGGACTAAAAAATGCAGTTCCGTTTTAATTGGTTGCTCAGAATTCAGTGTAATAAAACGAAATACACTAACACGCATTTTCAAAAGTTTGACAGAAAAAGAAATACATATTCTGAAAACACCTCTTCTTAGTCACAGAAACTTAACCGCAATTACCTTGGAATTCTCCAACATACCACAAGTCACATTCCCTTTCTAGTCCTGCCTCTCTCGCCTGATCTCCATACAGCCTGCCGGTGGGATTCATTATCCAGGAACGCTCTTCCAGATTCTCCATCTCTCCCCCTGCAGCAGTGTTTTGCCCTGGAGCGCTGTATCTATAATTCATCCTTTATCTGGCCCTCACACTCGTGTTTGGTGTTCTACACACTCATTATCCACATCACAAGTGCCGACCGACTGCCTCGCTGCTCTAATGCTGATCTTTGAGGGCTGGTCGCGTATCGACTGTAATCCGGAGTAAACACGAGCCTTCGCTCAGCTACATTATATTAACGTGATCG